CCTTTCTTCTAAGGGACATTGTTATCCTAAATGTCTAGTGTTGATTTATCCAAGCACATTCCTGTGAAGGCCACCTATGTGGAGCAAGTGACAGAGGCTGTGAGAGACAACCTCCTGCAAGCCTGGCTGTCCAGCCAGGCTGGGGAGAGTGACAGAAATTTGCAGAGCGTACAGCCAGAGTGAACGGCTTTTCATCTCACAACCCACCTCTGAGTGCTGGGTCCTCCAGATTGTTCCTTTCAGTCACACCAGTGGCACTGGATGAAAGCACTTCCAAACATAATGTTCTTTACGCATTTTGTATTTTAATTCCTACTGAGAAAATTCTGATTTTCATCATTTAAGTTATTGTCCTAAATTCAAGAACATTCATTCCTCAGTAAGCTCTTAAGACTGGCCTGGCATGTTAATTTCTGTCGTGTGTCTGCAGGATAAAGGCTACCACTCAGCTCACCGTTGGTCTCCAAAATAATGTTTAAATCTACATCTTACCTCATTCTGAGTAAGTTGGGCAGGGAGAAGGTTGCATATTTTAGCAGAAAGTCATGCGCTGATGGGCACTTAGTAATTTATAATTGGTATTAAACCTTCTTCATGTTCTTCCATTTAGAGACACTGAACATTCAGTGACTACCTTCCTTTGGATGAAGTCTCATCTCCTTTGCATGTTAAAATCCCTATGATCTGTGCGTCAGCTACTTTTCCCTCTCTTAGCTCTCTGGAGTCGCTCCTTTGAGCCCTTCATGTCCTCGCCCTTGCGTGAGAGTGGCCTTGATGGTAGTCCTGGTGGCACATGCTCCTGCGAGCCAATGCTGGCTGCTCGCGCACACTCCTGACACCACCCTCCCTGCTCCTTGGCCTCCTACCTGGAATCCACCCTCCTATTTATTTTCTTGTCTTCCTCCAGGGACTTGAGCATGAGCCCAGCTTTCTGTCTGTGATTCTCATGGCTTTGCAGTCTAGATTTTGACCTTTGCAGAATCGCTTGTTTTCACCTATGTATTTCAGTTTGCACTCCTGCAAACTCTTATCATGGTGGGCTCCATGGTGGGGTTTGCATCCAACTCCAGAGGTGATACCAGGAACTCATGCTTTAACTTACCGTGGTACTGGCCTAAATGGCTCTTCACTTATACCTGATGACTTTCAGCTGTTCCTCCCTCATCTGTTTGTTTCACCTGAAATGCACCCATGAAAACATACTTTGCCATCTCTTTTAATATCCTCCTTATCACCTGCTCATTCCTCAGAGCCCACATCACATTTCCCCTTTTCAGAAATCTTTACTCGACTCTTCTGTCTAGAAGTAACTTCTCTTTCCTCCAGTTCATAGTATTGAACTACATAGCATAAAAATCATATGGAGAGCTCCTGACGGTGTAATAGCTTCTTGCTGTGTCTTCTAAGCACCCGTCATATGTGGCCATGGTGGTGTGCTGTGCATGGTGATTGACCGAGGGACTGATGATGAGAGGCCTGTCAATTAAATGCTATGGTCACTGGTCTAATTCTTGCCTTTGGGAAATGCTGGCACAGCACTTCTTAGGTTTCTTGAACCTGTATCTTTTAGGGTTTCTTTTCATCACTCCTCTAAACTTTGTGATGCCAGGTGGTCTTGTCCATTTTGATTTCCAGTGTAACCTTACTGTTTTACAGTTTCTAAATTCAGTTCTTAAGACTGACCTTGGGCCGGGTGTGGTGGCTCACGCCTGTAATCCCAGCACTTTGGGGGGCCGAGGGGGGTGGATCATGAGGTCAAGAAATCGAGACCATCCTGGTCAACATGGTGAAACTCCGTCTCTACTAAAAATACAAAAAATTAGCTAGACATGGTGGTGTGTGCCTGTAATCCCAGCTACTCAGGAGGCTGAGGCAGGAGAATTGCCTGAACCCAGGAGGTGGAGGTTCCGGTGAGCTGAGATCACACCATTGCACTCCAGCCTGGGTAACAAGAGTGAAACTCTGTCTCAAAAAAAAAAAAAAAAAAAAAAAAAAAAAGAAAAGAAAATAAGACTGACCCTGACATGTTAATTTTTTTCATGTATCTGCAAGGTAAAGGCTACCACTCAGCTCACCTTTGGTCTCCAAAATGTTTAAATCTACATCTTACCTCATTCTGAGTAAGTTGGGCAGAGAGAAGATTGCATATTTTAGCAGGAAGTCATGTGCTGATGGGCATTTAGTAAGTTATAATTGATATTAAATTTTCTTCATGTACTTTCATTTAGAAACAATTTGAAGAGCTTGTGTAGGTGGCCACAGGGCAGAACTTCTGGGAAAGAGTTACTGTTTGTAAATCAAAAGTGTTGTCATGATAGTTCTGTGCATGTATGCTCATGGTGGCAGTTTTTAAGAAGAAGAACTCTGAAAATGATGACTCAGGGGATTTCAGAGGTTGGTTGTACCGAGGTGTATGCTAAGCTAAAAAAGAAAAGAATAAGGGTGATATGGAATTGAGTCAAACAGAGAAAATTATATGTTAATAAAAAATAAGTAGTTTCTTCTTAAATACGTAGTTAAATGTCGCCTAAAAAACTTTCAACTTCCAGTCGGGAGTGAGCCTCTGGGGCTCTGTAGTTTCTTTACCTTTTGACTTTATTCTCAGTTTTCTAGAAGATATGTCAGTGATTTATGATTGATGCTTTGGCTAATCTATGACCTTGCTGGGGTAGGACAGGAGGGCTCTGCTTCTGGACCTGCATGTCTGTTCCTTTAGTTTGGCTCCACTCCAAATAAAGGCCTCTGCTTTGCTGTTGTCATTTCTGCTGCTGAGTACATGCTCCCAGGCACATATGGGTATCCTGGTGAGCGCCCCGTCTTCCCCCGGCAAGGGCTGACCCTCAGGAGTCCTGATATTGCTCACTTGGTCAAAAAGCACCAGATTGGTAAAATATCGTTTTCACCATTGATGTAAACACAGGCACAGTAACAACCCTTTAGGGTGGACACCCCTGAATCCTGCTGCTGGGACTGCTTTCCTGTTCAGACAGCAAATTCTGTAGGAAGCTGTGTTTTTCCCTGAGCCAAGAGAGTTCTGTCCCGCGGGTGTTGCTTTTCCACAAGGAAGGGGCTGGGTTTTGGAGTCTGGTGGATGGACCAGGACCGTCTGGCCGTCCAGGCTGCAGCTGCCTGTGCTGGATTCAGCAGGGATGTCTTCTTCCTGTAGTATTTGCTCTCCGGTTGTGTCACCGATTAATTCTTACAGTGTTCTTTATGGCCCCTGTCTCTTTGTCATTTAAGAGACTGACCCATATTCTGCAGGTGTGGCTTGGCTGTCCAGCTGAGGGGTCACATCAGCTCATTTGTGACCTCACTGGAGGAGGCAGGAAACCTCTCAGCCCTGTTTTTAATGTAGTTCTGAGACATGGGAACTTACAGAAATTGCCAGCTATTCATGGCAGTAACCAGTAGATCTGTCAAACCTTATTACTTAAATTTCAACTCAGATCTAAACAACTACAAGGACTTTTAGTAATAATTGTGGTAAAACAGATTTTAGGGCTGGAGAGAGGAAGCTTGTGCATTCAAACATGCCATTTAGTAAAGAAGTTTCAACTGACATATTTTGTTGCCACAGACAAAGGTGATATTACTGGTGTCGTGAAAAGGGAATTGGCCACTCTTAGGAATATTTCTGAGACTGAGTGCTTCCCCCGACTCCTCTTTTGGCTTCAAGGATTTGCATCTGTTTCTTGTCCTGTCCAAAGGATGATGTCATGGACTTTCAAGGACTCTGCTGTGACTGGAGGGTTGGCCGGGCTGCACAATGTGAGGGTGCCTGGGCTGCTGGAGCGTCTCGTGTGGGCACTTCCCAGTGTGTTGCCCTGGGTCACCCCTTGCTTCCCACAAACATACCAAAGGCCCATACTGGAGGAAGGGAGCCTCATGAGAGGCAGCGCCACCTCGTCCTCTTTCCTGGCCTCTGAACTGAATGGCTTCTGAATTGGGACTTCAGTAGGTATAAAATTTTATAAATTTCCAACTGCTGTCATTCAGTTCATTTTCTGCAGGCAGATGGCCTTGGATCATGACTGAAGCTGATCTTGTGGGAATCACTGCTAGAGGGATAGCCAGAATGTTCTGGGAAGTTCCTCCTCCTGTTTTCCCTTCATCAGGGTGGGAGGAAGAACGTGAGGGAGTTTCACATTTATCGCAGCCAGAGGCTGCCACCTGGGAAGAAAAAAGAGAAACTAGATGAACGATGAGAACAGAAAAAAGCACGAGCTCTGAAGTGCAGAATTTGACGTCACAGGCTTCCTTCCCGGATGATGAACACATTTCTCTTATGGACAGTCGGTGGAAAGTCACCTATTTTTTCAGCTTCTGGCATACACGTTTCTGGAGGCTGGCGTTTTGTGGTCATCCTTCCAATGACAACATAAGTTTTCAGAATATTTGTATATTAAATTGAATGAAGAAAGTGGATGGATTTACTTAGTTTTGGTAAAGTGGCTTGTTTTTCATGATTTATAATTCTTTTTCCTATAAGACCTCATAATTGGCCACCTAATAATTTGTAAATAAAAATATAAACTCAAATTTCTAGCAGAGTGTGTACTACTGCCTTCATCTCTTGTTTTTGAAATGCATTGCGTAAGGTACCATGTGTTCCAAAAAGTGGAATGAAAGCATCATCACGAAATGGACACATTCATATAATAAATCTTCATTTAATTTTCAGAGTGCTTAAGATAATTTCAATGGGTTTGAAATAATGATTCTTTTCGATGTTTCATGAGAATTATTTCATCTGTTAGCAGCATTTAAATGTTGATTTTTTCTTTTTTGAAAAAACAAATCCATCAGTGTACATGATCGTAAAATAGGGTAGCATAATTGTGATGCCAAGCTGCCCCGTGTCACTGCTCTAAGACCTACATGGGCAAAGCAGCTTATGCTGATCATTCAGGGCATTAACGGAACTTCATGGAATTCATAACCAATGACCACACCTACTTTTAAGATGGGTTGATAGGATCTCTCTCTTTTCTTTTTTGAAGTGTTGATGTATGACACTTGGGCTGGTGTGCCCACGTGGTGTGGAGTCTGTGTGATTCATGACTGAGGAAACCCGGCCTCCACCTTCTCTCTCCTTGGTAAGTGAGACATCAAAATGGGAAGTGACGAGACCAAAAAAATTACAGATTGAAATATTTTGATAGCTTGTGAGCTTTACTTCTGTTATTAAAAACAAGAGTGGGCTGGACATGGTGGCTTAGACCTGTAATCCCAGCACTTTGAGTCCAAGGCAGGCAGAACACCTGAGGTCAGGAATTCCAGCCTGGTCACATGGTGAAAACCCATCTCTACTAAAAATACGAAAATTAGCCTGGTGTGGTGGTGTGTACCTGTAATCCCAGCTACTTAGTAGGCTGAAGCCCTAGAACTGCTTGAACCCGGGAGGCGGAGGTTACAGTGAGCCGAGACTGTGCCACTGCACTCCAGCCTGGGCAACAAGAGCGAAACTGTCTCAAAAACAAAACAAAACAAAACAAAACAAAACAAAACAAAAAAAGAAAAGGAAAAAAATGAGAGAGAATGAGCAAGCTTTTAGATACAGAAATCTTTCAAATAAAACGATTTTGGGCTTATGCCACCACTTGTATCACTCAGGAACTCGAAGACCTGAAAAGGCTTAGATGCTTCTCAGCATCTTCTGCCTCGCAGTGTGGCTGCATGTCAGGTTTCGGTTTTGTTTCCTGCAGTTACTTCTGTGCTCTGCCCTTCCACTTATTTGCAGTGCCTACCACTGTCATCTCACTTCCTGTTCTGGGACCTTCTGCGGAGCCCTGTGCCTGCTGGGTTAGTGCTAAACCTCTCATGATCCACTCAGGGATCCTCCTGGTCAGGCCTGCACACAGCTTCCTCATTCCTGTGGCCCTGGGGCAGTGCGGGGACTGGCACCCCACTTCACAGTGGTCTGTCCCTACTACCAATCGTGCTTGTTTGGATCTTCCAGAGTCCTCTCAGATATGCTGGCTTCACTGGAGCCTTTCTGAAGCACTTTAGACCTAGGTGCTGCCATGAGTTTTAGGGAGACTAGCAGAGAGGGAGGGGTGAAGGGGGATAGAGGGCTGGTGGTGTGGGAGAGGAACAAGTAAAGTGAGGGCAAGTGACAGTCTCATTCCAAATACTAGCACTGCAAAGACACTACTGTTGTTAATAAACGTCTTCGTTTTTCTCGCTAACTAAACTACCATCTCATGGTGGACGGGCTTATCTTTCTTCCCAATTCGCAAAGTGCTTTGCTGATTTTAGAGAATCCAGAGATTTTCCGAATAATTGGTGATCATTCCAGTTTTGGGATTTTGAGTTCCCAGTTCCTGTTTTCTTCCATGAGGAAGAAGGCTAAATGGGTCTTATAGTTGGGCCCTCTGTGTAGATGTATAGATGTGCTCCGCTGAGATGAGAGAGTCTCCTGTGTAGTCCTTATGTTTTGCGGCAGCCACACTGCAAGGCAGAAGATGCTGAGAAGCATCTAAGCCTTTTTAGGTCTTCAGGTTCCTGAGTGATGCAGTGGTGGCATAAGCCCAAAATTGTTTTATTTGAAAGATTTCTTTATCTAAAAGTTTGCTGCATTGTGCATGTTTCTCTAGCCCAGTAGATTCAGATTCACATCGTGTCTTAACTGGAACGCCCCGTTCCCTTTTCCACGGCACGCGAGAGCTGGAAGAACCACCACATGGAGGCTGTGCTGGCTTGCTGTGGATGGTCAGCAGTTATTATGATATAATTGGAAGAGTTATTAGCTACTGTAAGTCCTCACTGCGTGCCAGGCCCTGTGCTGAGTGAGATGTTTTCAGCTATCATGACAACCCATTCAGGATTGTATTCTTATGGTGACTGTTTTAAAGATGAGGAAATTGAGGCACCGAAAGCTTTAAGTAATCTGCCTGAGATTTGCAGTGAGTCAGAGGCAGAGCTGGGATTTGATTCCATCTTCTTAACCTTTACACAAAATTGTCTCTTAGCACTAAGAATGCTTCCCTAGACCTGGAACCAACCCAAATGCCCATCGATGATAGACTGGACAGGGAAAATGTAGCATATATACACCATGGAATATTATGCAGCCATCAAAAACGATGAGTTCATGTCCTTTGTAGGGACATGGATGAACCTGGAAACCATCATTCTCAGCAAACTGACACAAGAACAGAAAATCAAACACCGCATGTTCTCACTCATAGGCGGGTGTTGAACAATGAGAACACATGGACACAGGGAGGGGAGCATCACATACTGGGGTCTGTTGGGGGGAAATAGGGGAGGGACAGTGGGGGGTGGGGAGTTGAGGAGAGATAGCATGGGGAGAAATGCCAGATATAGGTGATGGGGAGGAAGACAGCAAATCACACTGCCATGTGTGTACCTATGCAACAATCTTGCATGTTCTTCACATGTATCCCAAAACCTAACACGCAATAAAATAAAATAAAATAAAATAAAAAGAACAGACATATATTATTTTTTTATTCCTTACTGGAAATACTCAGACCTGTATAGAGAAGCTCAGAAGAGATATTAAGAAGTCAGTTTTTCAAACAGTAATCTAAATCAAGAATTGGTGAAATTTTTCTAAAAAGTGTGAGCAAACATTTCAGTGCTTATAGGCCATAGCATCTCTGTTGCATCACTCTGCCATTATAATATGAAAACAGTCATAGATATGTAAGTGAATGGGCATAGCAGTGTTACAATAAAACTTTATTACAAAGACAGGTGGCAGGCTGGATTTGGCCTGCAGGCCAAGTAGCTTTCTGAGCTGTGATTAACATGATCTTTGCAGTGCTGAAGATCTCATAGTGTAGTGAATGAGAGTGTTTCAGTGGACAGTAGGTATGAGTCCCTCAATGCAATTTATCTGAGATGCTTGGATTTTAATTATAAACAAATTTTAATGAAGTCTATTGTACCTGCAAACCTTACACCTTGAAATCGGTCATTTGATGTTCTACTGCTTGACATGGTCTGTATGCCCCACATGTATTCGTCTAAGTCCCACCTAAACTGCAGCTTTTCTCAATTAGGGCCTGATAAATACGATTTTCTTGATAATTTGTTAGGCTGCTATGTAAAACTCATTTATGAAATAAGTTTAGATAGTACTTCCTACTTTGGTTTTTATATAGTTTCTAAATGTGACATTGTTAGTGTGCACTCTTATATATACTGCCTATTATATATATTAGGGTAAGCATGCAGTTCTCTTGTGCTGTCTGATAAAATTATGTTGAACAAAAATGTTCTGGTCTCGAATATCCCTCTTTTATTATAAGCAAAGACAGAGTTTAAACAGCATTGACATACTTAAATCATGAAATAACATGGCAGCACCCTTTACCACATAAATACAGTGAGTTATGTTATTTTAATTTTATTTTTTATTACAAAAGGATAGTTATGACAATTAAAGGCGTATTTAACTCTCTATTATACCATTTACAAAGATTGGAAAAGAAAATTGAAAGATTAATTTGTTTTTCTTTAAGCGATTGAAGCAAGGAACGGTTGTACTCATTCATTCATTCATTCTTAGAAATCTGTAACTGCAGCAAACTCAAGAGCGTGATAGATAAAGCAGAAGTTTTGGAGACATGCCTTTATCAGGGAGCCACTGGTCCCTTGGTACTTACTCCATGTGTCATGGCAAAGTGTGCTTCACTTTCATAACAACTACATAAAAAATAAAATTCTGATCATAAAAGTAATGGCAAGCTATCCTTGATACCTTATTAACTGAAAAAGCAAATTGCGGAATAATGTATTTAGATATAATCCCATTTCTCTTAAAAATATACACACATGCACAATCTCTATACACAGGTTCATGTGTATTATAAAGTCTACTAGAATATATATTAATAGCAAACTCTAAACAGAGATTGTCTCTGGAGTACAGGTGTTTGCACTTTATCATCTGTGTGATCACTAATATTTTAAGGAGTATTATTATATTTGCAATTAAAATAAAAATGCATGAATGTAGTGAATGCTCATTATTGAAAATATATAAAATAAGGGGAAAATTCAACTATAATGTCTCTATTGACAACAATCATAGATGGCATTTAATGTAGTATTTTATGTGATATTTTTGATAAACAGTGAATGGATTTGAGATAATGCTAGATGTAAAATTCTGCATACTACTTTTTCGCTTATACATACTTTCTCATGTTATTGCAAATTGAAGAAAAACTCCTCATTTTAAGCATGTGTAATATTCCATCATATAAAGGAGCTGTAATGTCAAAAGATATCTGTTCCTGCTCTCTTCTGCAGAATACATGTTATTTCTAGTCCACAACAGTCATAGACCATGCTGAAATGAACATGAGAAGGGTAGTTGGGAGACTTCACACACCTGAGTTCCAATCCTACTTTCCCGCTTTGTGCAGGTCGCTGTACTTGGTGCATGAAGTGCATGCTTCAAACATCATAGCAGTTGTTTTTGTAAAGCTTTCTTTTAACTGAGGGTTAATTTGTTAGCACAGAAGAGCTGTAGTTGATTTACTACATAAAACCTAGGGAGTCATAAAAGTCTGCCCGTTGGCTTTGTAAAAGCATAGTAGATATTTATGCTTCATTTATATGTTGGAGAATTTGTTTTGCTAAAAGTCACTCACTTTGAATATCATTATTAATTGTTTTGGTCAATTTGATAATATTCATGTTTTTATATGTTTCATTTTTTACTCATTGTGTTACTTTGCTAATCTTGTTTCAAGCAATAATTAGCTATTATTCTGGGTTGAAGAAAGAGAAAGGGTGGAGGAAGGAGGGAGGGAGGGAAAGAGAGAGAGAGAGAGAGACAGACAGAGACAGAGAGAGAGAGGGAGAAAGAAAGAGAGAAACAAACATGTATGAGAATTATTTGTCCAGATGGTATAACTGTTTAGCTATAGAGAATCAATGTTTTTCTTACAGATTGTAAGACTTAATTTTTAAGTATATTAACTAATTATTGCATTGTTTTTTTCCCTATTTCATTTGCTTGTTTACTTTATCCTTTTAAATTTAAACAAGTTTATTTTAGTGATGTCAGATTTTTTCTTGATAATGATTTTAATCAATGCTTAGGAATTTAATAAAA